GAAAGCCATATTCGAGGATGAGGTTCCGGCGGACCTTGGCAAATCCCTTATAACCCCAGTCCTCCCCCCAAGAATTTTTTATCAGAAAAAACTCCTCCCCATTCTTATCGACTCCAGAACCAACAATCAAAACACAATGATATCCTTTTTCTTCTGCAGCAATTTCATCTGGGAGACCTCCACCATAAATACCCTTGGTGCGCAAACAGAAAAAAATAAGAAACACACGCACAAGATGCACACATGAAAAAGACACAAAAATCAGTATTAGAGATATTAAACATTTTTTAACATACTTTGCCTGTGAATTTTCTAAGACTTCTAGGCGAAAACATGGTACCAACAATGGGCTGGTGCTCAAGAGCTTCCATGATCGACAAATTCTCTTCTTTAACAACAATAGAACCAAAAATAAAAAACTTCTGCCCCTGGTCAAATACATACATTTTCAGCAACAACTAATGGCATTTTGTAATGAGATGTCCATACTCTTAAAAAAAATTGCAGAATAATAAAAATACTGGATTAAATAACTCACACGAGCCACAGCAGATGCAGGTGTAACGAATGACATATCCTTTTCAGCTTTATATGGGTACACATCTTCCTCGTACAGCCCATATTCTTCAATCATTAAAAAGGCCTTTTCCATAGTGGCTGAAATGCGTCTCCTTTTTTTCTTCCCTTCATTCCCCTCCTCTTGCTTCTCCTTCCCTCTAGCCCTTTTCCTGGCTGGACGAGCTTGTTCCTCCTCTTGGTTGGCCTCTTTTTGCTCATCCTTGGCTGAACTACCATGTGAACTGTAATACCGATTATGCAACTGGTCAATAAACTCTTGCTTTGCCAATGAAACAGATTCCCCCCCTCGGATGACGTGTAAAGCTGATACTGCATCAGTCAAAGGGAAAGCATAGCATGCCCCTGTTCAAGGAAAACAATAGAAAATTAAATTTAGATAAAAATAATAAAAAATAAAGAAGATACTATTAAAAATCTTCAGGAAAGAAAAACAAGAACTCACCAATAGGGCCTTGATCCCATACAGGAAGTATGGAATGTGGATTCCTCTTCAACCAAGAGTTAGGAATCTACAGAAAAAATCATATTAAAATGGAAAAAAAGTTTCAATGGTCCTCGAACTTTTAGTCGTGTAAAGTTTTAATCCTTCAATAATTATACGAAAACTTTTGGACCTCAATCTATTCAAAGTGCAAATTATTTGGTCTTTCCGTGAATTCCGACCGTTTATGAGTGACGGTAATGAGGGCATTCCTGTCCGTGCTAGAGTATTAATCGAGTAAACTAAAAGGCAGTAAAAAACTACTACTTCCCTATCCATTTTCAATCTCTAGTTGCAGAAGAGCAGGGGAAAATCAACATTGCAATTAGGATTCAACCTCAACTCATAGAGCAAAAGTAGATAGAAAATCAAGAACGAAGGAGTGGTTGGGTGGGAAACAAGGAAATAAAAAATGAGAAGGGCAAAAATGAGGAGGTGGCGGAGGAGGCAGCGGTAACAGAAACCAAAAAATTTGTAGCACAAAGGAGTTTGAGTAGGAGACTTTTTGGGTGCCACTTGGTACAAAGAAAAATGGTATTTGTGAAGAGATTTTAATAAAGATAGGGACTTTATTGGAGAATTTGAGAATTTTGTAGAGAATTGAGATTGGCCCAAATGGGGTCTCATGTGAGGAGACGAGGCAAAGGAGTTTTGCCCAAATGGGTCTCGAGATTGGCACAAAGGAGTTTTGGTTGTAGGAGAGAAGGCAACAAAGGGGACAATCGGTTCATTTTTGTTAATGACAATATGCAAGCTGTAATTATTACTAGGATTGTCAGAAAGAGAGGAAAAAGGGGAAGAAAGTGAATTTGGGTGGCGGAGATGATGCTGAGGATGACAAAATGGAAGCAAAATTGTTGGGAGTATAGTGACAAGAATAGAATGATTGGGGGTTGCTGCAACGTTGTTTGTGATGAAGGAAAGGAGGAAGATTACTCAGATGAGGGTGGGATTGAAATCCGAAGAGATGCCACAGCTTTCTATTCAGATCTGAACTTCTAATTTCAACTGATGCATTACACATCCTATCCAAATTGAATTCTTGTCAGTTTGTTATTAATATTACTTGTTATTATCATCTGAGCAAGTTATCATATCCATTCCAAATTGTGGGCAACTCCATTGCCTGATTACTGTTCGATACCATCACATTTTCCAATTGTTCAAGTACCTTCTTGACAAATTTTACAGGACGCATGAAATTTTCGAACACAAAGGTAGTAAATTGTCTTCAATGTAGTCGTGCATGCCTTCCTATCAAAATAGAATCTACTGTAAATTGGAAAATAACAGATTTCACGACTTCAAACCTGTAATTGCATATGAAGCACGAAAATAACAGCATTGAAAGATCCAAAAAACTTCTCACCTAGTTAAACAGTAACTGGAGACCGTAATTAAACTGTCAAGACGAGCACCCATAATAGCTCCACATATGACACTCTCGAGTCACAAAGTTTAAGAGACTTCATCTCAAAGGGCAACGGCAACCATTGGATGACCAACAAATTCAACGAGAAAAAAGCAGAACAATCAAAACCTGCACATATTTCAATTCACAACATATAAACTCTAGTAACATCTCTGAAGCAAGTAAACCATCTGCAATCTAGACTATCAAAATGTTACCTTCCCGACTGAAGAACCGGGTTCGAGAAAATTAGGCTGGGTTAGAGAGAAAACACTCGGAGCAGTCTTACGATTGGCGAGGCGATGGGTGGATGCGTGGCAGGAGTGGCGAAGGGTAGCGGGATGGCTGGAGGTAAGCAAAGAGCGATGGGGTAGACGGGGGAAGTGATGGTGGAGAGCAGAAGCAATTACTTAAACCCTAGGTTTAAGACTCGATAAACTATCTTTTGTCCTCGGGGTTTTGGAGGATTAATTTCCTCAGAAGTTATCACATTAGACCCCGAGGCATTACATAAATTTTGTAATTTGGTAAAATGTTGCAAATGCCAAAACTTTCAGCAAATTTCTAAAAGTCACCACCAAAATATTGCAAACATTACTAACCCAAAAGTGCAGCGTCTCGCCTAAGTAGGTTCACCATTTCCAGAGCCAAAGCCAGCCGGTACGAGCCGCAGTCCAACTTCTCCCGTGAAAGAAAAAAAAAGCGATGGAAAGCCGCTCCTCCTCCTCCTCCTCCTCACCTACACCGCATCCTCTCACGGAGGAAATTATACAAAAATTGAGGCTTCTTCTCCAAGCCAACCCGTCCATTACAGTGCTGCCTTTAACTTATCAAGAAAACACCACCAACATCTCCATATCTCATCCAATTCCTTGTCGTCCCAGATCTGACCAAACCAACATACAAACACTGGATCCAATTCCTTGTCGTCCCATATCTGACCAAATCAACATACAGACGCTGGCTAACCAGATCAGATCTGATCGGGCCAGTGTAGAAGAAAAGCTCAGTAACCAGGCCAGCATAGAAACACTAAATGTCGATTGGTGTGATTTTGACTGCTACTAGCGAATTCTAACTGCTTTGCAAGATAATTGGGCTTTTGGGGTGTCACCGGGATAGGATTCTCGCTAGGGCGTCGGAGGACAAAAAATACTAGCAACAAATAATAAATAAATAAAGATAAAGGAGGATTCGATGGGGACAAGGAAGGAGAGGGGGCAGATCGATGGGGATGAAGGGTGCAGGAGGTTTAGATGGGGCGGCAGAGACGCGAGAGTACAGGAAATAGAAGAAGAAGAATTGGGGGATTGCTGCCTCGAGATAGGGGTGGGCACGGGTCGGGTACCCGCCCCGAACATCAAATGGCTGACCCAACCCTAACATATCGGGTCACTATTTTTTTGACCCTAATCCGCTTCGCTTGCCCTCGGGTACCCGATTCTCGGATACTCGAAAAATAGGGGCGGGTCATAGGGTACCCGCCCCTATTAAAGAACAAATTTAATAGCCTTGAACAAAAGACAAAGCCTGAACCCACAAGAACAAGGAAGAAAACTTGAATCAGTGAAGTCTAGATCCTCATAGCAAATAGGGCAAGATTTTGGTATGGATGCAGCATTCTTGCAACCCCAGATAGATCCACCACAGCCATAATGCCTATCTGAATTCATTGGGAAACTGTACTGCTAGTGCTTGGACAAGTTGTTTGTTTTCTGCTGGCAAAGTCTATGAGGTCCAAAACTTTGCGACAGTTGTATAATTGGCTTATCATCCTGGAGAAACAAACGACCAGATAAAGTTTTTGCATCATTTCCCAGAAGTCCATTATGAATGACAATTGACATAATATCTGAGCACCATTTCAAGATTGCTGCCAACCTAATAAACGTTCAAATAAGTACTTTTTAGATTTACTTTTTCGAAGATTTAGCACCACACAAACTTGATTGTAATTAAAGTTAAAAGTGACTACTAGAAGGAATGTGTGGTTACTTTTTTGGGCTTGCTGGTTAGCCATGGCTAAATGATTGATAATGAGTCATGCAATGAACAGCGACAGAAAATGTCGAAGATTGGTCGGACGGCTTACAACCAGCCGTGCCCTAGTCCCGTGGTCGGTGATTGACAACAAAACAACCTCAACCTGTCCCTCTACGTCTCCATCTCATTCTTGCCATTTCTGGGATTTTTTTCAGTTTTAATGCTTCAAAAAGATTCTTGTTATTAGTTATTTCCGATGACCGCAATCGTTGGATTATCACCCCTGTGGAAACGCAATTTATTTTTTGGCCTGAAAAAAAAAAAGGAAAGTTTAGAAAGAACAGAAGATAACAACCTCATTTTAAGGCCAAGATAAGTTACCGGCACACTTTTTAATGACTTATAGTGATTTTTACAGATCATCTGTTCGATGAGAGACCTGATATTTTTTTTTCAAGTCAAAATGAACGAGTCTTATCAGTTGATCACCCAACCTCTATTGGCCCATTCAAATGAACTATTTGCAAGGTTAATGCACATATATTACTAATTCAGCTCATCACAGCTTGCATTTAAACAAGGTTGCAGAAGTTGGCCAAGACATGTTCCTGGGAGGATTGCAACTACATCCAATTTGTTCATCTCTGCAAATTCCCATGCAGCTTTTTCAGCTAGTGTCTTTGACACGGGGTACCATTTCTGTAACAACAGTTACCAATAAAAAGTAATTATAACCAAATTTCACTGAGTGCACCCAACAAGCATCAAGCTTCATTCTGTGAATGCAAGCTCACTTAATCAATATAGGGCAAAACAACTTGTTCCCTTAGCATACATAAACAGGCAACACAATCATATAATTACCTTATATGTGCAGAATACACAGTTCTTCACATTTATTACGTTCATAACTAAAAAAAGTTCAATAAGATTTAGTCAATGAACATTTACCTAAACATAATTTTTTACCAAGCCCCTCTAGTTCAAAATGAAAGCTGTAAAATGCATAGTTTGACCTCTGGTATTCACATCCTTTATTCAGATGCAACAAACATATAGGATTAGGCATAAAACGTTTCTGCCACAAAAACTATTCATTCCCAATACATGGCTGTTAGCTGTTGATATAAAATGGATGTCTTGCTCAAGCTTTGGGTCCGATGAATTTGTGAACCAACTCATAGAATTCATGTCTAAACAAATTCTTAGACGTCCTACACCAACTTTATATGATGATAAATTTGCAGCCCCTACATGCATATTTGCGCACAGTAAATGCAATATTATGTCCTCCAATTTTTCTCATTCCATGTGACTAGACACATACCCCACAATAGGGTTTAAAACAGCCAATATAGCTAAAGACTGCTTTACGCTTTCATTTTCAAAAAAGTGAGCACATGAAATTCCATCTCTAATGTTATTCCTCCATGTCAGTTTGTCTTCCACTCTAAGCCACTTTATACACTTCCAGTTTAGCAGACTGATCCTCTGTTAGAATACCTTTATGTTTAGTTTGGGATCACCGTTCTCGCATAAAATACATGTTAATTAATTATATATAGTCAACACTCAGAGGAGCCAAAAGTCTTGACAAAGTTTACAAGCTCCTCTCCAGAGTTAAATTCAGAATAAAGTCATAAACCTTCAATTGGTAGCACTACTAAAAAAACTTATTTAAATAAAAAAATTTGCTTGATACATCAGCTTAAATTCAGTAGACTGAGCATGGTCAAGTAGGATAGGTTTCGACTTTCGAGCAAGGAAAAGCCCTGAAACAGGACCCCTCATCAAATAATCCAGCCTGTCACGTTTCATATTACACCCGGAAAAAAAAAAATCATTTGAATTTTGTGTACAACCTCAAAAAAAAATATGCTAATTGCAAACAAAGAACCCCACTTCTGCTTTTCATAGCAGTAAAAGATATTCTCCTCAATTCCCAAACACGGGATATCTAATTTTACGTATATCCACCACTGCTTTCTAGGAACTTATACCGGAATTTAGAAAACACATGCCAACAGTCTTGATCAGAGTTTCCAAGTGTAGATTATCTATCATCCAAAATTTGTAACTTAAGAGAGAACCTCTGACCTGACGAGCAATGCAGTAGTCAAGATCAGTCCAAGAAGACTCATCAAAAACCTTGTTCCCGGGCCATCCCGGATTAGGCACCATAGCCGAAATCGACGATGTAAGCACCACCCTCCTCACGTTGTACATTTTGGCCGCCGCCAGTACGTTCAAAGTACCCTTAACAGCCGGGTCCACCAGCTCCTTTTGCGGGTCCACCGGGTCCTCAAGTGTGCATGGAGATGCCACGTGGAAAACACCCCCGCCGGCACATCCCTCAATGGCTTTGCGCATTGCTTCAGCATCCAAAAGATCGGCCTCGTGCACCACCAACCGGTCGCCGGCGGCACCAGGAAGTGAAAAGAGGTGAGATGGGTCAGAGCCCGGGAAAATGGAAGCGTGCACTGTGGTGTAGCCTTGGTCTAAAAGGGTCTTGATTACCCATGAGCCGATGAAACCGTTGGCACCAGTTACACACACTGGTTCTTTGGTGTTGATCAATTTTGTAGCAGCCATATCTGTTGGAAGCTGGGATCAACTTGAAATTGAAGGACTCCTTCTTTTTTTGTTTTAATTTGTGAGAAATAGAGAAATTAAAGAGTCTTGAATTAAATATGGATTTTTTTTTAACTTTTTTTTTAACTAACTAGATAATGAGGGAGTATGATGTGGCAATACTAGATTGGATGAGTTTAATAGTAGTTTCATCGGATAGGTCACTACACTCAAGTAGGTGCATAGTATGTTGCATAGTTCATCGAGCCTTATCCAGTATTAATGTATTTATTAAATAATTATATTTATATGGGTTAAATTACATAAATGTTCAGAAATTATTAAGAAATTTCAACCGTTACTGGATAAGTTAGTTTCATGGGCATAGGAGTCAATTTAATCCCTTTTTTTAAGCTAACTAGCTAAGTGAGGGAGTACGATGTGCCCGTACTGAATTGGATAAGTTTAATATTGGTTTTATTCACTGCGTCGGCAGGCTCAAGTAGGGGTATACCATGTTCCATAGTTAATGGAGTCTTGTCCAGCATTCAAGGTTTTAAAACCTAAATCGTTCATTAAATCGGAAAAGTTACTAGGTCACGAGTCACTGGTTCAACTATTGGGCTAATCATTTTCAATCCGTGATGTCATACATAAATAAAAAATAAATTATATATTGTTAATTTTATCATATCTGCAATCTACACTTCCCACTGCAAAGGTTTACGCATGTGATCATAACTATGGTTCTTTTGTTATTAAGTTTATAATAAAATAAACTAAAAGAAAAGCAAAGATACAAAGCAAAATACAAGAAAAGCAAGGCAAAAAAGAGCTATAAGTATACCTATATGACAAGCTTGACACCAAGAAAATAAGAATCTTATTTTAGAAAATTAGTATATTACAAAGTAAAACAAAAAAAATCATAGCGCATATAGTTTAGACACAAAATTGAGCTTTGGCAAAGGAATTTGAGAGATTAATGATGAGATGATAAAGAGAGGGATGATTCAAAAGAGAAAAAATTGAAGAAAATTAGTAAATTGAAGAAAGGAAGAAGATTGAAGTCTTAGGTCTTGACTTGAGTCGACAATAGGTTGCAGTTATCTAATTAGTTTCTATGTTTTTGTTTTATTACTTTTTCTCCTCTTTTTAAAATTTTGACCAATTGAATGAACCAAACTAGTTTAGAAAAAATTGTTCTGGTTTGATGGTTCACCGATTGGACCAATCGAAACTGGTTTTCACTCAATACAACACTTTTTTAGTCCTACCGGGTTTGAAGCATAACTCGGCTCGGACAACCACCCTATCGACGATTTAATTGATTCGACGGGGCGGTCCAGGCTGGGTCTTAAAACATTGCCAGCATTAATATAAATATTAAATAATTATATTTACATGGGATAGATTACATAAGTGTTCGGAACTTGTTGAGAAATTTCAACTCTTACCTTCAGTAGTAGAGCTAGTTTCATGGGCATTGGAGTCAATTTCATCTCTTTTTTTAGCTAATTAGTTAAGTGAGAAGTATGATATGGCAGTACTAAACTGGATAAGTTTAATATTGGTTCTATCTAATGGGTCAGTAGCCCCAACATACTCAAGTAGGGGTATAGAATGTACTATGTTCAATAGCTCATAAGTTTTATCCAACATTAATATATATATATATATATATATATATATATATATATTAATTGATCATAAGTGTTCCGAACTTATTGAGACATTTCAACCCTTATCTTCTGTGGTATAACTAGTTTCAGAGTCAATTTAATCCACTTAAAATTTTAAAGGAATAAAAAATTCATAAAAGACCTAAACCCTAACTTAACGATCGAAGTCAATCGAATCGAGTATGAGCTCTTTAATGATCTTTGCGAGTCGAATTTGAACTACTGTTCTTCTGCTCAATCGATCTCAAGCACTTAAGTTGAGCTTGAATTTGAGCATGACATTGCTCGAGTTCATTTCAGTTCAATTACACCATTAGGCCCAAATGCTCACTCACTGATAGTTAAGACCAAAAAAGGGTTAAAAAGCGGTTGAAATTTGGGATTCGTCAAAGGAATCAAAGTTGTATAGAGGTCGAGTGATTTAAATTGACAATTTAGGGAAGTGTAAAGACAAACCTAAGTGTAATCTTTTTTGTCCATAGCAATGAAAATTCAAAATTTTTCAAAAGAAAAGAAAATCATTTAAAACGTTCCTTATATTTCGCCAAATAAATTTTTTTGACTTTCACTTTTAAAATAGTAATATTATGTCCCTTACAAAATCTAATGAATAAAATTTGATCCCAACTTAGGTTTTTGATCACCTTTTAACTTGAAATCACCACATAACTTATATACAATTTTTTTTTTTATGTACAAAAAGGTTAGATCTGACATTTTTAGTGGCAAAAATAAATATAAATTGGGTCCAATCCTACTTTTTTTTAGGAAAAAAATGAATATGATTTGAGTCAATCATACTTTTTAGGGACAAAAATGAATATAAATTAATTTTTTATTTGAAGTACAAATGTGATCTAACCTTTTTATCATTAAAACATAACCATATATAGGTCACTTGGTGAATTCAGAATAAAAAATGGTAAAAAAACTAGTTTGGAACCAAATTTTTATCAATTTAATTTTTTAAGAAACTTAAAGTTACTATTTTAAAATTGAAGGATGAAAATTTTCATTCGATGAAATGTGAGAGACGTTTTAAACCATTTTTCAAAAAAAAAAAAAAAAACTATGAACATCTTCTTACCATCTACCATCATTCTTCCCTTCTTTTTTCCTTAATTGGCAAAATCTTTCTCTATTTAGCATAGCTTTTCGGGACAACTTATCACTAGCCGAATGTTATGGTAATGATATTTTCCTGCTTCGCTTTATTAAAAACTATCAAAAACTTCTTTTTTTCTGTCCAACCAACTACATGATCAAATTCAGTAGCGAATACTACTAGAATATGTTGGAAAGTGTGCCGAAAAAAAAGAATAAAAGATGGTAATGAACGATAAGGGGCAATCTGCTTTTGGATTTGCCTATTTTAGCCTTGCACCGTTGAAGAAGAATATGGAACTATGGTATAAAGATTAAATTTTGAGGAGAAAAACCAAATGAATTAGAATAGATGATTAAATTAAGACAAGTAAAAGTGTTGAGGACTAGTGAAACAATTCACCCTTCTTCAATATATATGTGTCAATTTGAATCTAAATTGTTGACATGTTTCCAAAGGATTTTTCGCTAGTATCATTGGAAAAACAAATTTTTGAACTAAAAGCGAATGCCAAATTTCAATTGAGAAATATTTACTTGTTCACGTTGTTGAATTTTCACTATTCGTTCCACTTTTCTGAATGAGTCGATTGACAAATTAGTCTCCTTTAAAATTGGACTATTTCAATAATTGGAGTATATATACAATATATAAAATCAGAAAGGTGGTAGTTGGTGTAAACATTTTTGGTCATTTTTTGAATTTTCAATTTTATTCTTGCAGAAACTAAATTTTTACCTTAATTATCTAATCATATTTTGCCAACATAGCTACTCCGAACCACCTTTAAGAATTGTAAGTTGTAACTACCAAATTACTACAGCCTTATAAATAAAAGTTCTTTAATTGGTTTATATAAATTGTATTTATGTTAAAAACAAAATTCATATAATATTAATTCATTTTAATTGTTTTCAAATTACACATACATTAAATGTGGCCTTAATAGTAGTTGGAAAAATTTGCTAGTGAGTAGTGATTTGATTTTGTATAGTTTGCTCAGAGTTAAAAAAAAAAAAAAAGGAAAAAAGAGCTTACCTGACTAATGAAAAGACTAAATTGGGCTCCAAATGAACGGGTGGCCTAATGAACGCCAACAACCACCGTAGTCCGGACACAGAAGCTTTCACCAATAGAAAGTCCCTCCATTTTTCTTTCTTCCCATCTTTTGATTTTAATGGGTTCTTTTTAGCAATGGATATATCTGCAGAGGGACTAAGATAGCTTACAACTAGAAGAATCGTTAACTGATACCATTTTTGTATGGTGCAATCAAGATAATTGAGAGAAGCAGAGATGATTGAGCGTCAGTTTTGCTGTAAATGGTGTTCAAGATTGGTGAAATAGTCTTGGACTCATGAAAGTTGCCGCATCACTTGCCAAAACTTCACTTGTCTTATCAGCATACAATGGCTTTGCTGGTCCTGATACTGGAGGATATGGATTTTGCCATTCCTACTACTCTTCCAAGATTGTTGCCAAGAAAAGTAAGAAGCCTCAAGCTCCTTCACCTAAGGTAAAATTTTTAGATTCTTTTAGAATTGTTGATAATATTTTAATTGATTTGATGCTGATATGAACTGAGTGCGTTAATCAGTGATCGGTACATTATGTTTTGTGCATGGTTTGGAAAAAGATTGCATTTTTATGTGCTAAGATATGAAGTTGTAGTTGAGTAGTTGGTCACTTAGGAAACGAAAATGGGAAATGAATAGAAGAAAAGAGAAGTAGAAAGTTTTGTTATTTGTTTGGTCAAGTGTATACTTAGGCGAGTGAAGATCATGATCCTTACTTGGGGATGTAGTATGATGGATTTAGACAAGTACAAAGCTACCAAAAGGTTCTTCGAAGAAAATGGATGACTGTGAGGGATTGAAGGTCCTTTATAAGGCAAGAAGGTTTCTTTTGTCGTAGATGCAGTAGGGTTGATATTCCTTTTTACAATTTGAATTATCTTGGGTGAAATTTGGGGTGCGGAAAGGAAACTGAGAAGGTAGATTTGAAGATTATGTCCTTTGGAGTATAGGATGAGTTTTAGAAGGCATTTGTAAAGACAGGACTTGGTAGTCCCACAGGTTGAGGTTTTAGTGTTTTGAAACTTCTTTGAAGGTTAGTTTTGCTAAAGATAGTAGTTGTTTAAATGGGAGATCACTGAAGATATAGGCCAAAGAAGAACCAAGCATCGGAACATTTGAACCTAAAGATTCTAACATTTTGATTGCTTTTTTGGGAGATTTCGGCTGTTAGGTTTCATGGCAAGATAGATCAAGTATGTTCTTGTTAATCGGTCAGAACAGCTCAGTTGAATTGTGCATCCATGTACTGTGAGAAATAGGAATGCTACATACATCTTTGGAGCTTAAAAGTAACAAAATATTAATAGCTGCCATTTCCCAACTCAGAAATGAGTCTGAAGATTGATATATACTTAAAAAAATGGGGACACTTCTCTTTAAAATATCAAGCAACTGATCATGAAATGCCAAAAAAGGGAAGGAAAAAAAGGGATGATGCGAATTTTCTTTGTACTGTAGGCTTGTTATAATTGAATAAGAGAACTGCACTAAAACCATTAATGAAGAAATATGAGAGGTCAAAATAATACCTTGTAGCACTTAGAGATAAATCATCTTACATATGTGATCCTTTTTTCTCCATGTTAACATGGATAATGTGAAAGATGATACAGGATCCTTGTTGGATGAAAAAATTCTGTTTCGGAAACGTGAGTTTCCTTCAATGATATGGAAAAGGAATAGAAGTAGGAAAAATAGGAGTTGGTGAATCAGAACAGAACGACGTGAATGAGCCAAAATTGGAGAGAGAAGGAAGAAGCCAGTATCAAAGGATGGACTCACTTCCATCTTGTTGATGTAGCAACATTTCAATAACGCATTTCAACCACTTGGTTATCTTTGATACTTCTAAGGTCGTCTTACTTAAGGTGCATAACGCATGTAATGAAATAAACATATTCACGTGCATTTAACTGTAAAGCATTTCCATGTACTTTCACTTAACATTCTTGTCATATCCCTGAATACTAAACTTTCTAGGCAATGTGATACCTAATATCTACCTAAACCTTCTTGTCAGCATCAAGTTTGTGAGCAAAATGAAGAGGAAGAGAGGGTGTAGAGAAAAGTATAATTATCCATATCTAGACCAAAATTCCCTTCCAAAGAAATTCTGAACCGTGTGAAGGCCAATGTGAAGAAGCCACAGATCTCCCTCATTTGGAGCTGCCCATCATATATCTATTCTTTTCAGTCATTTAATGTGATTTTTTCTTTTTGGTGTCTTCTGGGCGTTGCTTTTAAACAAGAGAAAACCCTTGGTTTCTTCAGAGTTTGTCTTAAGATCCTGGAAAGGTCTTGTGAACAATATTCATTAAACTATCGATGTGTGCACCTTTAACTCTAAGAATCTTGCTTGTAACAGGGCTCTGAGATGCCACCTCCAAGAATCACAACAAACTTGAAGCAGAATTTACAGTTCTTAAGACTATGGAAGGTAATTTAACACCTTAGCTTCACGCTGGCTATATTGGGGACTATTTATGGTTACTGATATTGATTTTCTTGTTAAAATACTGTTGTAGGAGTTCCAAAAGAGAAAATCAAACACACCTAAGCCTGCAACTAGTTACCGCAGAAAGAGGGCAGAGAAAGAGGAGATTTTAGAAGAAGAAACAGAACTTTATCGTGATCCTACTTTGAGCCTTTACTAGTAATTCATTTTCCAGGTCTTCTTGGGTATCATTTGTTATACTCTATGTTACTTGGACTCTTCACTTTGCCCTGCTGTATCTGTCCGACTCTTCATTTTGCACTACAGTAGCCATGTTGACAGGACTTGGTAGCTGAGTCTGAGTAACATAGGTTATACTAGGTTGCTTTTTGGAGCTATTTTGAAATTCTTTGAATTGTTTATTTCTATAATAGCACAAACCAAGGCATAGAAACAGCAGTTCCTGTTTTGCTTGTGGATGGCTATAATGTCTGTGGATATTGGCCAAAATTGAAGAAGCATTTCACAACTGGCAGATTAGACATTGCTCGGCAAAAGCTTGTTGATGAACTGATTACATTTAGCACGCTAAGAGGTTTGTGCATTTTCTCCTTTGGTAGTATTACGTTGTGTGGACTCTATTATTAAAGTTTCAAGTAGTATGATTAGAGTCTCCTGTTCTCTTTCTTTTGATAATTATGACCGAGCTTAATCAATCTAAGGTGGATTCTGCTCTGCTCTTGTTTGTGTAGATTTTCGAAATTAATTTTTTCTTTTGCATGGTATGCTTTTATTGACTCATTTTCGTCCTAAATTTTGTTTGGCCCTAATAAGTTTCAAAATATTGTTGTTAGACTATTCTTGGCTGCATATTAATAATTTGGGGGGAGTTTTTTCTTAGTTTCATACTTTTTCTCAAATAATGGCTCTTCAGCACTCTTGTCTATGGATTTTTTACCCTATATCAGTTTATTTACTCTGTTTAATATTTGTGCCTAAAAGAATTTTGTATATTTAGATTGGGAATCTCCATTTCTTTTATCACGTAAGTTGAGTTCTAGTGATTTTTAAAGGTTTTCTGATTTGTACATTTGCTCCAAAAGAGAAAAATTGCCATTGGATTTGGTTTCTATCTAGAACGTTTCTAAAATATTATATTTTATAACGAATTGCAGGTCCTTTCGCATGGACGCTTTCTTAAATGCAATAGGATACAGCATTTGTTAAATATCATGTTGCTGTTGAAACTCATTATAGCTTTGTATACATTTGCAGAGGTGAAAGTGGTGGTTGTATTTGATGCCATGATGTCAGGGCTGCCAACACATAAAGAGAGTTTTGCTGGGTAACTTCTTTTTCCTATGTCTTTGTTGTGTTTATACATCAGTATGCCCATTCAATTTAATATTATCTATTAGTTATTATTCTGGATTACAAGAACTTTTTGTTGTTCTGTCACAATGTATATTCTTTGCAAAGCATCAGAGTGCAAGTATCTGCCTATAATTTCCTGAGACTATTTGTCTATAGGAATCTTTAGAGTACATCTGTTCTCCTTAGTGGAGTCATCTAAGAATGAGTTCAGCAAATTAGTTTTATGACACATTTCTGTTGGTCAAGCACTAATGAATAGCAGTGTTGGTTGGCTCCTGTCACATCATTCTTATTGTTCAACAACACATTGAATAGTGGTTCTGCAACTAATCATTGGTTTTTTCAGTCCTCAATATGCCCATAAGCATTCACTAACAGAATTTGTATATATTGTTTTCTTGAAGTTATGTATGTCAATATATTACAGTTGACGTAAAATAGAAAATCATTTAACTATCATTCTTGCCAATAGATCTATATGTTCATTTTGGTGATGCAAGGTTAGTTGCTTATAATTCTCTTTGAGAGGAAGATGGAAAAACTTGTGTGAAAAGTATTCTCTTTTAATGGTGTCTCAAGTTTCTTTGTGTTTCAAATCCATTTTTAGCCTCAGTTGTCTATATTGAACATTAGCGGTTCTTTGCTTGATAAGCATGATAGAAGTTTTCATAACCTTAAAAGTTGTGAAATTGCAGCATTGACATGGTGTATTCGAGTGAAACCTGTGCTGATGCTTGGATTGAGAAAGAGGTACATCTTATCTTGCCACTTGAGTCAGGTTAATCATTTACACGACTCTCTTTCCTGTGTAATTTCTCAATATGGTTCTAGAAATTCTTCGTTCACTACTGCTTAATGAAATGTGTTCTAGAAGTAAGAATCTCCACCGGATGGACTAGCTAGCTCAGGCTAAAGTTCCAGGTGATGAAATGAATGTGGTTCTAGTTGTTATCTCAAAATTAGTTCATCAATTTTGCTAATTTTAAACTTAAGAACTCTATCCACCTCCTGTCCCTTCTTTGATCTTTTACGTAAATATAACTTGTTTAGTTTGCCCAGGACTAGGAGTAGCATGCAAGAATAGAAGTCATAGCTTATGACTGTTAGGCAATGAACTAAAACGAGAAAAACTTCATCTTTGAGTTCCAAAATCTTACATTTGCTTCTACTGTTTTTCAGTTTCTCACTCTTTTAACATAATTTATCTTTTACTCCAATGACTAGGTATTTATTCAATAATTTTGGGCTAGGGTTGTGGTCTTAGTTGAGATTGTGGCAGTGCATTCTGCTTTTGAAAGTGTAACTGTGATCTCCTAGCTTCTGCTTCATAGCAAAGACAATATACTTGTGCAGCCTGTCAGGGTGTGTAGCAGTTCTATTTGCTGCACCTTCTTGTTATTATTGCAATTTGGTGACATGTTATGTGCAGTTTCTGTTGTCATTTGGCTGTCATAGTTTCACATACATGACAATTTTGTGATCATCTTACTTTCTTAGTAGAAACTGTTTCTTTCTGTAAAGTTACCATTTGCATTGATCTTCTGATATTTCTGTCACATGATTAGGTTGTAGCTTTGAGAGAGGATGGCTGTCCAAAAGTTTGGGTTGTCACATCAGATCGTTCTCAGCAGCATGCTGCATATGGAGCAGTATGCCCTGAACTTGTAGATTAGTAATCCTGTTATACAGTTGTTGCCAAATTTAAAACTGATACTGGTTTTAATATCTTCATTAGGGAGCTTTTGTATGGAGTAGCAAGGCTTTGGTGTCTGAGGTAAAATTCCAAAGGAATATGGAGGCATATTGTGCTTTAGCATGATAATCGAATGGGAGTCAGTATGATGTCATTGTAGGTTTTCTAGATATCCATTTTTTCTTTTTGTGGAGAGTTGGGGATCGGGGTTTAAAATCTTAATTTACTCAGTGATGAGTGACTTCATATGCAGTATGACTTTGATTTTTTGGTTCAGTGAAAATTCCTGGTCTGTCCTTGCAAACTTAACAAATTGCAGGTTTCTCCTTGATTAATTTTGTGGCAAGCTGAAAATTTTCTTGATTTGCATCTTATTGCTGAGAGATTATTGATTTCCTTCTGTTTTCTTTTTGCCCTTGTTTTGGTGGTGTGGCTGGGATTGATGTGTATTTAGACTGAACAATATTTAGTATAATCACGATTTAGATAGATTTTAAACTTTCAGAAAGTGTGCATTTGGCATGAAGTTGGACTTCTAGGTTAGATAGATATTCATAACCATTAGTTAGTTTTTCGCTCATTCTTTGCTCAAGTTTTTGATGCTTTAAGACTAATGCAGATAAAAGCTTCGCAAAAAGAGATGGAGATGATGCTCCGTGAACATAGGTACAATTCTTGCTCTGTGTGATCTCATCAATTCTTTCTTTTTCTTTCGGCTTGCCCATCCTTCTCTGTCATTTTTTCAACCCCCCATTCTGGACATAGTTACGTATGGGTAAATCCGGACATTTAATCCATTGATACTTGAATAAGTTAAATGGAGTGAAATTACTCAAGGCTATAGGAAATGAACCGCGGACAGATGCTTTCACTTCTGCAGTTTGTATGGAAATAACTGGATGGGCAGGGGATGCTCCCTTCCCATAATGCTGGTGTAGCTCTTATTCCTGTGAAGTACTTATTATTAAGTAAGCTATCAACTATGACACCATGGTAGGCCCCAAAGCCAAATAGGCAAGATGACTGACGGCAAGGCTGGCTACTTTGTCATCTTTTTTCAGACCTTAATTTTTTGCCCGACCAATCTGGAGTTAGTGAACATTCCCCACTTTATATTAAGTTTGTCTTTTCATCATCTGCCCATAGGGGCCAGGGGAGGCTTTGATCTTTCATACTGTTTCATAAAATCCATATCTTTACTGCTGTATGATTCTCTTCGTGGCTGTGGCTAGACCCAAAACATGAGGGAGGTTGGCGTTCTGTTAACATTAAGCTTTTAATGTTTTACATTCCTGTGCAGATCGACTTCCATGCAAGGTAAATTGCTGAAGCACAATCTTGATGCAGAGGTAGTGGATGCCCTCAAGGATCTCAGAGACAAGTTATCTGAAAATGAGTCCCGAAGATGACTTGTCCCCGTAAAATGATGTCCTTCACCTTGGCTAAATTGCCAACAAAATTAAAGCATATGCTGTCCAGTTATCTGCCTGAAAATATATTTCTCAGTATTTCAGCACAGCCATGTACAGCTTTTTGCCTGTGTTATGTTATCCTACCTCAGTCCCCTTCGCAACTCAGCTTAAAGCTGACAGCTTGCTTGTTCAACTTCTGTCTGTGCAAACTATATACTTTGTGGATGACTACTCGAAATGCGTAAAATTTCACAATTTGTTGCTCACAAGGCTTTGTTGGAGATTAGATGACCCTCTAAATAATGCATAGTTTGTTTTTCTCTTATCTTTGTGCCTTGCTGTTATTTCTCTTGGATAATTTCAGAAACTCACTTGAGGTTTTTGACAATTTCATCTAGTTTCCTTGAAGTTTTTAAAATTACATATACCTCCCTTGAGTTTATCATTTTGGTAACAATAACCATTCAATGTTCAAAATTTTGAATGAATAATTCAAAATGTCCTCATAAAATTGTGAAATTTATTTTACCTTTTTATAAAATTCTTAAAAAAAAAGGAACATGCATGAAATCTCAAGCTTAATTTCAACTATCATCTATATTATATTAAACCTTTTATATTCCTATATTTCAAAGTAGTACTATTATCAGCATGATCACCACACCATCAGTCCTTAAATTCTAAAACCTTAATCTAAGTTAAAATCAGTATTATTAAACTTGAAAATTTCATCAACTGCATTAGTATAATATTTTATCCCTCAAATGTTGAAGTCCAAACACGAGCCCCATCCTTTTTAACCCTTCAGCTTACATCTTCTTCTGTTTATCTCGAGATCCTTCAATCAAAGCTAAAACTAATTTGTAATATGTTAAAATTGTGTTTAGGACATGATTGGTTTATTTCATGGGTGAATCATGCTTTTGTTTTCATTAAATGTCCATTTGTGTGATGTATTCATATGCACAAGATTAAGAGCGGATTGTTTAATTGCATGAAAAATAGTACTATGTTTAGGTTGTTATGGTCATTGTATAGGGTCAAAGAGGTAAGTGTAATATTGAAAATCTCAAAAACACTAAGTGAAATTGTTAAAAACCTCGAGGGAGGTTTTTGAAATTGTCTCTATTTCTTTTTTTCGGAAGCAAGAGGATGGACATATACAGATTCAAGAATGTTGCTTATGTTGAGCAATACTGAGAATTATTATATTGAATTCCTCCGTTTGGATTAGCTTATTTTTCAAAAGAAGTTTTTCGAATACAATGTTATAGTAATACACAAACAAAAACAATTCAAAAAATATCTCGTCCATATAATATATCAAATATTTCAAAAAACATTCATAGTAAAAATTTGTCATATACACTGCTACAGTAAAATATTTTAAAAATACATCGAAAAACAGTTAATTCAGACGGATTTCTTTTTTTTTTTTGGCCACTCTTTTGTGGCAAAGTCCATCTTTCAAATCTTTCTTTCCTGGATCAGTGTATGAGCCTTATCGTACGTTTTTGGGCTTGGGATTTCTTTGACTTCAAGGGGTCTGCTTGTAGTTTAAAACCCAATATTGTTTAGGAATCCCATTGGTCCATCGCCCAGAAATGTCCCATGCAAGTCACAACACTTTATACTTTTTCCAGGTGAGAAAAAGAAAACAAATCTAGGGAAAATTCAAAGATTAGCGCAGCATAGTAATCTTAATAGGGTTTGGCTATGGAGTGCCCAGCAAACAAGGACTTTTGGTATTAATTTTTTTTTGATAAAAGTAAAACTAATTCGAGAAAGAGTCTAAGTTCAAGGTGCAATAAATTTGAATGTATGCATTCACATGATACGTTAGATGTAATTTAGGTGAAGCGGGCACCTATTTTAAAAAAATTCACCTCAATAACTCAATTTTATTCTGGAAAACAAATAAAGTGTTTAGATACTGATTAATTTGTACAACTCACTTCATTTCTTTTTTCAAATCTTTTCATTTTAAGTTATGTTTTGGATAAAAAAAAAAGGGTTGATATTATGAATTCCCAATTTTGTAAGAATCATATACTCAAGCATGGCTTTATATCCGGAATAAAACTACTGATGAGAAGTGAAAAGGTCGTGGAAGAGGGTGCATATAGATTTATCAGTAGGTTTGATATCATCAATTCATTCCGATTTCCCAAAATGGTTGAAGTTTCTATCCACAAATAAGCAAATGAATAAATGACTGTTTTGTAATATTATTGGCATCTGATTGAGGGTGAAATAATCATGTAAATCTTTTTTTTTTTTTTTTGGGTAATTACATGGATATAAGTGGATAGGTTCCCATTTTCCAGCAAGTAATTCGAATCCAATTTCGTGTCAAGCCATCAAGTATCGACCGACCTTTCATTTTTTGCGGTGTCTATTTTTATAAACAGCAATTGTCAGACAATGTCCAGATTTGATGATCAATCAATTACTAGTAACATTATATACCCTGGGAGTGCTAAGTTGGATTTGTCCATTTTCTTGCCAGATTACTGTAGGACATGTCGATCGTCTCTTTCCATGTTAAGGGGTCCGCTTTTCATATAAAGCTAAAAATGAAAATAGACTTGTCCGTCGTTTTGATGGTTGAACTGCAAAATCTGCATAAATAAAGGTAGAAGAAGGGAGAGGCTAGCTGAAGGGCAAACGCAATTTACTATGTATACGGCTTTTACTTTTTGGATTATTCTTTTCAATAGTACTGTCGGTCGGTGTGTATGAAAGATTAATCTTTTTGCTTTTATTCAAAAATTATATGAGTTCCACATCCCAATAAGTGCATGTGCTTAAGTATAAAATGAAGGTTAATGTTCCTTAATATCTAAAATTAGGGTTAATTTCACTTTGCATTCTTTCTATTATACCTAAATTTACACTTTGATCCCTCCCTAAAATTCAAAGTGGGAACATTAAATAGTTCCTAAAGTATCAAATTTGTTCCACTTTAGGGTCTGTTTGATAATATAAAAAAGTGTTGAATCTGAATTTTTTCAGACATTCAGATGTTTTGAGTGTTTGATAAATGAAAATCTATTTGCTGAACTTGTTAAGCAGTGTTGAACCTGTGTGTATTTTTTTCAGCACAAGAATCCTAACTGAATGCTTAATTCTGATAAGAATCAATAGAATTACTTCAACTACCTTATCTTATCGACCAAATCTACCATTGTTTGTTAATTATGTTCAAAATTCTTATCTAATTAAACAACCTAATATTCTCTATTTAACGATTTTTAGTTTCTCTTTTCTCCCTTTTCAATGACTTTCCCATGTTCTCCATACTCCTCATATAATATATTTCATCTTTTATATTAATTTGATTTAAAAATAAATATTATCATTTTCATACCTAACAATTTTAAACTAATTAAATCATAGATTCTATTTATTTTTTGAATGAAAGGATATAAGGGCAAAATTGTCAAATTAAATTTATTAAGCATTCAACTATAAATATTTATCAAACAGTATAAATAGGTTTAGCATTAAAATTCAGACATTCATTTTTTTTTCAGTGCTTAAAATTTAGCAAATTAATTGTTTCAGTATTCAAATTTTAGAATTCAGACTTCAGAATTCAGATTCAGTTTAATTCTTAACATATAAAATTTATTTCATTTTAATCCCTCAAGTATAAATTTTATCCTACTTTCCTCCCCTCGTTTAAGCTGAGGGATCAAATTGGGAATCCGTGGTATAGTTGAAGGATGCGAACCGGAACTAATCAAACCTCTAAAATGAAGCTGTAGTTAACTTTGTCAAAGAGATTGATTTCTTGAAAACTTCTTGTATATTTCAAAAATCGCATTTAACAACCGCAAAAGTTGGTGCTGAATTATGTACATTCCCATGAATGTAGCTTCAAGCGAGCATTGAAGAAGAATCTGGAAACAGCAGACAAGAATGTTAGCGGTGCAAAAATGGAGTGATCGCATTTGCATCTATGGCCAGTGTGTCAACATCTAGTTGAGGTAATAATAGGAATCACGGGATTCCTGCCTCCAGTCAAATGTCAGTTTGTGTCACAAACGTACAATATGCCCTCTGAGAGTTACCATATTGATTGTTTCTCTCTGTGAGTCTTTCTCTCTGTGTGTGTGATAGAGTGTGTGTGTTCTTGAGGGGATGAGATGGACGGGTAGAGTAGGACATAACTAGATAGGTAAGGTGGGGTTAGTTTACAACTTTATATATGTGGAAGTGGTGGCCAAGGAAGTAGGGAAGAGAGATGCATGCTAGAAAACAAGAATTAAGATGGATGGACAGACAGTTGAAGGAAGAAGAAGTGGTACCCCAAAATTTTCTGCAACTGTATACATGTTGCTGATCCTTGTCCTACAGATAGAGAGGTTGAGTTGTTGATGATGTTGGTAGTATAGTAACTCCAAACCTCATTCATCTTCCTTCAACAAACATAACAATAAATTTGACAAGTCTGACAGTCCACACAAGATCCAGTCAGAGAGTCAAAGAATCGACTCCATTAATGAGGAATGAGGACAGACAGACCATTGAACAATATTAATCATACATACAATATAATGAATTTATTGTAACGGTGGTGTTGGTCCTCCACCCCTCCTCCTCCTCCATGTTCATTGTTCATTGTTCATTGTTCAATTCAATAATAAGGTTGGTCTATGTCACAAACCGACCCCCGCCGCTGTCATTTATGTATGTGCTTTCTTGCGTCCTCGTTTTTGTCCTTGTTGATATGTATATATTTTTGGTTAATCGTAAGAGTTGCCCATTAAGAGAGATTGCCATTAGAAGTAGGCAGATTCTATTAAAGAATTCGTGTTCAAGTCTATTAAAGAATTCGTGTTCAAGTTAAGAGGGCGTTTGGATTTTGAGTTTTCATGAAAAAAACTTTTTAAAAATATATTTATGATATATTTTTCAATTATTTTTTTTTAATTTCATATACATTACATCGTTACAGTATATTTATTTTTTACAAAAATTCCAAAAAATTGTAATTCAAACTGAGTGTAAGATTCTCCAGAAACAAAACAAAACAAAAAATTGATCGCAGGAAAAGGTCAAGGGATAGCGATTACGGGGCAGCTTTTTGGTCACATACATAACATAACTTTGGCAACAAGAATATGGTAATTCTCGAACTTGGTGATGTGTAGTATCAATGTACCACCCAAAACTGAAGTAGACAAAACAATTTAGGTCATGTACACATTTGGCTTGGATGCTTTAGGTGATCATGACAGTGTAAAGATACAAAAGTCTCCTC